ATTGTAGCCGCGCGCCCCAAAGCGCCTGGCGACCTGGAGTTTCCTTGACCATATCGATCAACGGCGTTTCGAGTCAGCCGCGGCATCGGCCATTTGAACAACAGCGTTGGAGGATCAAAGTGGAGCTCTGTATCTCAGGTGGTCAGGCGCCAGTTGCTCATCGACCTCGGCGACGTGACCAAGTCACAACCATACCAGCATGCGATGGAGGCTTTTGAGGTCTCTCGGCGGGGAAGGGCTAGACGGGGGAATGAGCGCGAGGAGAGTAGGAAGGAAGGCTGCCAGATTCAGCGAACTTGTGCATGCAAGCTGCTTGAAGTCGACGTGCTGCTGATCCGACCGACTTCGCTGCGGTGGTTGAGCCCTTCTAGTAACTTCGGTCGGAGCTGTCTGTGTGGGAACAATACAGTCCGGGCCTTGAAGAAGGAACCCTTTTCGTTGGGGAGGGGCTCCGCGTTCCTTAAGTGTTTCGCAGCTTGCCTCAGGCGTTCCTTATGTTTTCGACCGGAAATCGGAAGGTTAACGTATGGAAAAAAGGGGCCCCGTTCCTTATTTAGGGTTCCTTAGGTCAACGCCCCGACTGTACACTCGTGCACCCAGAGGAGGCGGAGTGTGGAACACGGGCTCTTTTGACAAGACGCGAATTGACTTCTTTGTTCGTGGCGGGGGAGGCGTGCAAAGGAGGGCGAGGCAGAGGGACGAGGCAACCGGCAGAGGCTTTGCAGGAGGGGCACACCAGGAGGGTGAGGACGACGGCGGCAGTGACCCAAGGACGAACGGAGGGAGAGAGGGAGGAGGAAAGATCAGGCCGGGCGAAAGGGGGGATTGGGAAAGGGGGGGTTACGAAATTTGTTGCATGCAGCTGGTTTCGGCCTCACCGAGGGGCCCATTCCTCGATGCACAGCTGCCTCCGGCGCCGGGAGGCGCCGGGAAAATCAGCTACGTGAGCTGATTCTCAAACCCCCCCTTTGCTATCCCCCCCTTTCGCCCGACCCAAAAAGAGGATTGATCATTGAGCATTGCGGGTAAGCATCGGGAGACGGGAGCGAGGTATTCCTATTCGTTTGTTTTTCATTCGCATGATCCTCATCATCTTCTTCCTGCTCGTTGTCCCCTGTTCTCGTTGGCCTCCTCGTCCTCCTCATCCTCCTGGTTCCCCTAGCTCGCATGCTTGTGGCAGTCATTGTCGCGTGATCGCCCTCGTTTTTTTCCTCCTCTGCAAAGTGGGCAGACTCGTTGAATACCTCCGATTCCTCGTTACCATCCCCTCCATCTCCCCCTTCCTGCACCCAAACTCAACCACAAAGCTGCACAGATTCCCGGCCCCAACCGCAATCCAAACCTCAGCCTGAACCCTAATCCTGACTCGAACCTTGCCGCTACGCCGAGCCCAACCCCATATTCGAACCCGAACTCCCACCCGTGCACGTGCCCCTGCCACTGCCCGTACCCTCAACCTAACCTATTCCCATCCCCCTCCCCTGGAAGAGCAAGGAGGAGGACAAGGACGAGCCTGCGGAGACCGGCATACCCCTCCACTCGAACTCCCGACCTTCCCTCCCCTCCACCCCCTCCCATCTCGGGCCCTCTTCATTTTCCAATCCACACCAGTCGTCCTGGAGGTCCCCGGAGGCCCCCAGAGGCAATTTTACAAAAATATGCATAAACGACAAACAAACAATAACGTTACAAATGCTTATCCGATCTTCGACCCTGGCTCTACATAGATAATAACGCCCACCTGTACCCCCGATCTTCGAACCGCAATTCTCGATCAGCCTCCTCCCTCCTCCCTCCTCCTCCTCTTCCCTCCTCCCCGCCGCAGTCGATCCGCGCCACCTCGTAAGCCCCTCCACGGCCATGAGAAGGAAGGGCAAGCAGAACCTGGCGCGCAGAAGCCGCAAGGGAAGCCCCAAAAGCGGTGCGCGCAGCGGTGCGCAAGCGGCCCCGCAGGCGGCTCGGTCCTGAGGGGGGTGGGGGAGCGGCGACCCTCCCGCCGCTGCCGTCTCGCGACACCTGCGGCGCTACTCCCTCGTAGCCCGTGAGACTCCAACTCCTCCCACCCGCGTCTCTCCCCCCCCCCCGCGTCTCCCCCCCCCGCGTCTCTCCCCCCCCCCCCGCGTCTCCCCCCCCCCCCCGCGTCTCTCCCCTCCCGCCTTCCCGCCCGCGTCTCTCCCCCCCCTCTCCCCCCCGCGCAGGTCGTGACCGTGCGCGGGCGCCACTCCCGAGCGGAGCTGCTGGCGGCCGCCGCGAGCGAGGATCGGGGGGGGGCTCGGCCGGGAGCGGCGCGGTCAGCAGGGAGGAGAACGAGGATGCAGCTCACTCTCCCCGCCCCAGGTCCCCTCGAGCGAGTTCGACTCCAGCGAAGTCGCAGCTTCTTATTCGCTGTTTCGCCGATCGGCGTGGGCCCCGGGCCTCCCTCCCCCCTTTCCCCCCCCCCTTCATAGACTAGAGCTTGGCTGCGTTTGGCGGCTGCTTTCGGCGACTGGTCACGACCCCTCCCCCCCAGTCTGCTGGCGCGGCTGGCGAAAGCAGATCGACGCAGCACCAGCCCAGGCCCAAACCTCCCCCTCCTCCACTTGCCACGAGCGAGGAGGACTGCGAAGAGGTATGGTCATCAAGTTCGAGGAGGTGTCCCGCGAGAGCCCCGCTCTGGAGAGGCGCCGCCCCCCCATCGGTGCAGCCGCTGCCCTGGACTTGGCATCGCTCGGACGTGTGCATTTTTTCTCGGCGAGAGCCTTCGAGGAACATCCTGGACCATCGAGCGAAAAAAAACACGCACGAAAACGAAAAGCGCACGGGAGAGGGACGTCCGAGCGACGGCAAGTGGACTGCACGCCCGGCCACCCGTGCGGAAGCCGCCGCGGGCGAGAACTCTCCACGGGCCGAGGAGTCGAGCGGCCCTCGGCCCGTGCAGCTGCTGCGTGTGCCCGGGCTGCCAGCTCCCCAGGCCCTGCTTGCGCTTTAGGGTTTCCCTATGTCTTTCGGGGGTGGACAGAGCTCCTACCCTGACACGTCGATCAAGGAATGGGCCGCTTCCGGCTCGCGAGGGGGCGACGCGGCCGTCAGTTTTGCGGGTCCAGGTCCGTCGGTTTCGGTCCCAGGCAGTTTTCACTAAAGGGAGGTTTACGAAAGGGAAGTTTGTCCACCGCCGAGTCTCTCCCGAGGAGCTCTCAAGGCCTGCGGATCGGGCTGGCGGCGGCGTCGTCGCCGTCGCAGCCCCGTCGCCGCCTCGTCACCGCCCGTCACCTGGGCATGCCGGCCGGGCCGGCCGCTGTGTTGTCGCCGTCGCCGCCCCGTCGCCGCCCGTCGTCTGCGCCTGCACTGCTGTGCATTGCTGTGCCGCGCTGTGCATTGCGATGTTTCGAATCTCTTTGCGTTGCTGTGCATTGCTCTACCGTGCCGTTGCTTTGTACTGCGTTGCGTTACTTTGCGCTGGTTTGCACTGGGTTGCATCGCGTCGCATTGCTTTGCGTTGATCTGCATTGTTTTGCAGTGGTTGGCGTCAAGTTGCGCTGGTTTGCACTCCGTTGCACTGCAGTACATTTCTTGCACCACATAGACTGCCCAACATAGTTTGACTACCATCGATTGCACCACATGGACTGCACCACATATATTGCACACCCTAGACTGCACCATGTAGATGGCACCACAAATTGCACTACGCATATTGCATACTGTAGATTCTCCTTTCCAAAAACAGAATAGACTCTACCCCCCCCGGCGTTCGCCGCCCCCCCTTTCGGGTATGTAAATCATATATGATTATGACCACATGTCCATCCTAAATTTGACTTTACACTATCCCGTGGGGGCGGTATCGGCCCCTCTGAGGTCCCCGTGTCAAAAACGATACGCGGGGACATCTTTTGCTCAAACATAAGACTTGTTCACAAATCCCTTTGCAAAACAATGGGACGAAGTGCGCACGCGCGCGTCGTCGCGCGCGCATGCCGAAATCCTTCAAAAACCTTCGGTGTCAGAAGGATTTCGCAATCGAGTTCCCAAAACACAAACAAAAACACATGGTTTCGCAACACTAACTTGCTAAAAAAACTTACGCGCGAGCTCTTGCGAAATCTTAAGAAAAAAAACATAGGTTTTTCAAGATGTTCACAAAATGCTACTCAACGGGCTTCGCGCGCGCGCATGTCGAAATCTGTCGAACGCCCTTGCGCGTGTGCCGTCGCGAGAATCCTCTGCAAAAACGAGACGAAGTGCAGACGCGCGCGTCGTCGCGCGCGTATGCCGAAATCCTTCAAAACCCATCGGTTTCGGAAGGATGTCAAAATCGTGTGTCCAAAAAACCTACCAAAACACAAGGTTTCGCAACACGGATTTTCAACAAAAACGTGCGCTCTCTTGCGTCGTCGTCGTCGTCGCGGTCATCCCTCCTCCCGCGTCGTCGTCGTCGTCGTCGCCTACGTCGTCCTCTGTCTTTCCTCGTGTTCGTCGTCGTCGTCCTCTTTGGCGTCGTGGGCGTTTCCGTCGTCGTTGTCGCCGTGGTCGTCCTTCCTCCCCCTCCCTCGTCGTCGTCGTCCGTCGTCGGCGTCTCGTCGTCGTCCCTCCTACTTCGTCGCCGTCGTCGTCGTCGTCGTCGTCGTCGTCGTCTTCCCTCCTCCCTCGTCGTTGTCGTCGTCGGCGTCGCCGTCCTTCCTCCTTTTTCGTCGTTCGCTTCGTCGCCGTCCTCCCTCCTCCCTCGTCGTTGTCGTCGTTGTCGTCGTTGTCGCCGTCGTCGTCCTCCCTCCTCCCTCGTCGTCGTCTTCGTTGGCGACGTCGTCGTCGTCGCCTTCGTCGTCGTCGGCGGCGTCGGCGTCGTCGTCGTCGTCGACGTCGGCGTCGTCATCGTCGCCGCAGTCGTCGTCGTCGGCGTCGGCGTCGGCGTCGTTGACGTCGTCGTCGTCGTCGGTGTCGTCGTTGTCGTCGTCGGCGTCGTCATCGTCGTCGTCGTTGTCATTGTCGTCGTCGTCGTCGGCGTCGGCGTCGTCGTCGTCGTCGGTGTCGTCGTCGTCGTCGTTGTCGGCGTCGAAGTCGTTGGAGTCGTCGTCGGTGTCGTCGCCCAGCTGGGACGTGCCCAGCAGCCAGCGCCACCGCGGCCGCGTCGGTCGCGCCGAACTGGCTGGCCGCTGCGCGCGCGCTTGGGTTGGCGCGGCCGCAGAGATGGGCCAGCTAACTCCAAACACTCATTGCAATCGTCACCACATGGGTTTTGAAAGCGAAGTTACGGGTGGGTGGGTGGGATGTTTGCAAGAGCATGGGATGTGTCAACTCGTTTGTTAAAATCACTTGCACAACATAGATCACACCACATAGGTGGCACCACGTTGATTGCGCCGCAACTACTGCACCACATCGCACCACATGTTTTGCACCATATCTGGTTCCCTACAATGACTGCACAGTTTTTGTTATTACGCACTGCTTGGGGCCCACCCTGGTTAACATCCTTAAGTTTGAAGAAACTGAGCGAGAGCCCCATTGTGAAAAGGCACCGTCCTCCAACGTTGCAGCTGCAGCAACATTTGAACCGAATGCGCGCGTCGCTAAGGTGAGAGCCCCATTATAAAATAGAACCGCCCTAGATCCGTGCAGCTGTGACATATGTTCAAGATGCTAGCCTTTACAAGCGAGAGCCCCATGTTGAATATGAAACGTGCTCCATCCTTGTAGTTGCTTCAAGCTTTGAAAGCTAATGCCGCGCCCCTAGGGTGACAGCCCCACTTCGAAAAGAAACCGCCCTTCATCCTCGTAGGTGCTGCATGCGGTAAGGCGAATGCACGTAGCCCTGATGGGATACCTTAAGTTTGAAAAAAAACGTAACATTATCCATCCTCGAACTTGTTGCAAGTGTTTAAGACGAACGTGCGCGGCGCGAGAGAGAGGGCCGCATTTTGAAAACGGCCCGCTCTCCTTCCATAAAGCGACTGGGATGTGATAAGGCGAATGGGCGCAGCGCCAAAGCGAGAGCAGCATTTTGAAAACGGCTTGCCATTCATCCTTGAAGCTGTTGGAATATATTAAAACAGGTGCGCGCGGCGCTAAGGCGAGAGCCACATTTTGGAAACGCCCCGCCCACCCCTGAAAATAGTGGATTCCTTTCTCCGGGATAGTGAGTCACAGGGAAATCCCATGCGAAACGCCCGGCCCAACCTGCGAGCACGTCTGCTGGTGCAGCAGGCGGAGGAGGAGGAGGGGGAGGGGGAGGAGGAGGAGAGGGAGGGAGTGAGGGAGGCAGGGGAGGGATGTCGAGGGAGGGGGAGGAAGAGGAGGGAGGGAGGAGGAAGGAGGGCGGAGGGAGGGCAAAGAGCAGGAAGTGAGGGATGAAAGGAGAATGAAGGCAAGAGGAGGGTGGACGAAGGCAGCCGGACAGGGAGGGAGGGAGGGAGGGAAGGAGGGTAAGGAGGAGGAGGAGGAAGTAAGGATGAGAAGGCCGCGGTGGCCTTTTGACCACCGCGACAAAAGTTCCACCCGTTCTCTATGCCAACATTATTGTAATGGCGTTAGCCTTGCAGTGTTCGGCGGAATGGCCTCCGTCATTGCATGGTCCCCGATTCCCTTAATCAATTCGGGTCAGAATTTGTGTTCCGCGCCCACATGTATACATCATTGCACGGGATGCATGTTCGCGCGGAGTTGTTAAGATTCCGCCTGATCCGCCCATTCCAAGGAGTTGCAGCACTTGCGAACCAGGACTGACGAATTTTTTCGCCACGGCGACGTATTGAGCCAAAGCCGCCCCAAAAAACAGCCCAGGATGAAAAAAATGTCGCAGGGAAGGGGTCGAGGCCGCCAGGGCTCCACATTGCGGAAACATGCGGATGCACATATGTTCATTTAAGACGAAATTGGCCTTCCCTTCTCTTACCCTCCATCTCGCTCCCCCTTTTTGGTTATACCTACATTGTGTTCCTTTCATCGGTCCTTCGCTACCTCCGCCTCCCTCCCTCCTTACCTGCTTCCCGCTCCCCCAACTATCCCCATCCCATACCCCCACCCCATTCATTATCCTAGCTCGCTGCCCCCCTTCCCTGCCCCCTGACCCTCTCCAAGTCTTCACATGTCTCTATCTTCCTTCCTCCCTCCCCCGCCCTCCCCCTCGCCTCCCTCCCTCCCTCCCCATGCCCCCCCCCCCCTCTTTGCCGTCCCCCCTCATCCTTGGATATGCCCCGCGACCCGCCTGGAACCATTGCCCACCCCCTGTCTTTGCCCGAGTGCCACCCCCGACGAGGAGACGGTCAGCGCGCCCGCTTACGGCAAGTTCCTGGAGGAGCCCTCTTTGTCGGTTTTGGAGGTTATATTTGTCCCGTTCCATGCGTGTCCATCCTTTCTCCTCCTCCTCCTCTTCCTCCTCCTCGTCCCCCCTCATCATCATCGACAACGTCATCGTCACAGTCGTCATCATCATCATCATCATCATCATCATCATCATCATCATCATCATCATCATCATCATCATCATCATCGTCATCGTCATCGTCATCGTCATCATCATCATCATCATCATCATCATCATCATCATCATCATCATCATCATCATCATCTTCATCTTCATCTTCATCTTCATCTTCATCATCCTCATCCTCATCCTCATCTTCATCCTCATCATCAGCATCATCATCACCAGCAGCACTATCTTTAACATCACCGTCATCAGCATCAGCATCAACATCATCGTCATCACCACCATGACCATCATCATCAGTAGCATCATCATCATCATCATCACCATCATCATCATCGTCATCATCATCATCATCATCATCATTCCGCAGTTGCGGGGATCATCATCATCATCATCATCGTCATCATCATCCTCATCATCATCATCATCATCATCATCATCATCATTTGCCCTCCTGCCTCTCCCTCTCTTTCCTCATCTCCCCTCCGCCTCCTTCCTCCTCCTCCTCCTCCTCCTCCCCCTCCCCCTCCTCATCCTCATCCTCCACGTCCTCCCACTCGTCCTCCTCCTCCTCCTCCTCATCCTTCTCCTCCTCTTTCTCCTCCTCCTCTTGCTCCTCCTCCGCCTGGTCCTCCCACACTCACTCCCCCCACCCCACTCACCCCTACGTCTCCCCTACCCAGTGCCCCCTCCTCCACCTCCCCACTCCCTCCCCCGGACCTCTCACGCATGAAGCGTTATCTCATGTGCTTTGCAGCAGACCGAGGCCTCTTCGGCCATCTGATGTGTTTTACCCCTCGGCGTCGGCGCCTGCGTGTTGACGGCAACCCCGTCTGGGGTTTTGTGCGGTCCCGCGGTCCGTCTGGGTCCTTCCCCGCTCCGCCCATCTTCCTCTCATCCCGCTGCTGCCGCTGCGGGCGTGAGGGAAGGAGAGCGTTGTCTCGCCGCCGATCGCATTTTCGGCCCACGAGGCGGCATGTGAGAAAGAAGTCCTCGTCGTCGTCGTGAGGATCGATTGCGAAAGGTCTGTTTTGAATTAAACGGTCCGGACGTGCTGACCTCGTCGCCACGGCTGGATGCACCATCTTGAGATTGGAACCTGGCCAGCGGATTCGACACAAGCTGTTGGGCATTTGCGTGCGGAAAAATTCTGGAACCTGGCCGGCTTCAGACCGAGCAAGGGCCAGCAATTCAAGGGGCTGGATTTCGCCCCGAAGGCTGTAACAATTCCATACGCAGGTTATCAGCCAGAATTGGAAGCGCACCTTGAGGGTTTCACCTCCCACACGTCCTTCGACGTGGAGACCACGACAAGCTGCTGGACAGCAGCAAGCGCGGCACGGACAAGTCGTACCGTTAGAGCGTGCCTCTGGGAATGGTCAAGTCCATCCGCCTCGAGCTGTTGATCGGGCTCAAGCGGCGGAGCATCCCTCCGCTACCACGGCCAGGTTCCGAATTTCCGATGCCGAAAAGAAGTCAATCCCACATCCCCCTTGCAGCTAACCATGGGAGCGAGGGTCCAGCGACCAAAGCTACGGAGCCACGACCCCCTACCTTGTCGAACAGGTTAGACAGGCCCCACCTGGCGCTGTGGATGACAAGGCATCAAGGCTTCAGGCGGGACAGCGGGGTTGGGCCAAAGTTGCCGCCGTCGAACAGCAAATAACATTCTGAATTGCCGAGATGATCCAAGCCCCAAGCCAGCTCATAGCTAATACGCAACGGCAAGCATTTAGGAGCACGGCAGAATTTTCGAATCACATCAAGAGGCCAACCATAACAGGTTGCGTTCGTCAATCACGGAGTTCTTTTGCGCCTCACATGCGCAGCGCGCCCAGTGTATAGACATCCGTGCTCGCGCCGTTATTGGCAAGATCGTGACAGCTAGTGCGCTGGCCAGAGGAACAACCAACGAGCAACGGACCAAGGGATAACCCATTTGGCCGAGCACGCCAACGAAGTAGAAAACCTTTTTCTGCAACACGGACGAGGGCAAGTCGCGACCGGCATTACAGAAGCGGCGCGGATGTCACTCCAGACATTGGAGAAATCGATCCCAGCGTCAGAGCAGAAGATCACCGAGTTCATTCAGCAACTCGAGCCCACTGCAGAATCTTGGGCTCTGACGAAACGCGAAGTCGGCGAGGTCGCACTTAATAGCCTAGAGATGGAAAGTGCGCCAGTGGATCTCCCTGAATACAATAAAGGGGGGGGGTCCACAACCCCCCCCCCCTCCCCCCCTCCCCCCTTAAGGGGAGGGGGGGGGCCCGCCCCCCCCCCCCTCCCTTGAAGGGGGGGGGTCTGGAACCCCCCCATCCCCCTCCCCCCCTTGGCGCTGGAAAGGGGGGTGTGGGGGGGTTCGGTCCCCCCCCCCCTCGTGTAGGGAGTACGGAGTTGGGAGTAGGGAGCGGTGAGTAGTGAATAGTGAGTTCGTGCGTAGTGAGTAGTGGGTATTGGGTAGTGAGTAGTGGGTAATGCGTGGCAAGTAGGGAGTAGGGAGTGGGGAGTAGTGAGTAGTGAATAGTGAATAGTGTATACTGATAAGTGAGTAGTGAGTGGCGAGTAGTGAGTAGTGAGTACTGAGTAGCGAGCAGCGAGTAGTGAGTACTAAGTAGGGAGTAGGGAGAAATGAGTGGTGGGTAGTGAGTAGTGGGTAGTGAGAAGTGGGTGGCGAGTAGTGATTAGTGAGTAGGGAGTAGTGGGTAGTGCGTAGTGCGTAGTGAGTAGTGAGTAGTGAGTAGTGAGTAGTGAGTAGTGAGTAGCGAGTAGTGAGTATTGAGTAGTGAGTAGTGAGTAGTGAGTACTGAGTAGTACGTAGTGCGAAGTGAGTAGTGAGTAGTGAGTAGTGATGAATAGAGAGTAGCGGGTAGTGGCAGTGGGTAGTGGGTAGTGAGTAGCGAGTGGGGAGTAGCGAGTAGTGAGTAGTGAGGAGCGAGTAGGGCGTAGTGAGTACTGAGTAGTGATAAGAGAGTAGTCAGTAGTGAGTAGTGGGTAGTGATTAGTGAGTAGCGAGTTGGGAGTAGCGAGTAGCGAGTAGTGAGTAGTGAGTAGGGAGTAGGGAGAAGGGAGTAGGGAGTAGTGAGCAGTGAGTAGTAAGAAGTGGGTAGCGAATACTGGGTAGTGAGTAGCGATTGGTGAGTAGTGGGTAGTGAGTAGTGACTAGTGACTAGTGACTAGTGAGTTGTGACGAGTGACTAGAGACTAGTGACCAATGAGTAGGGAGTAGTAAGTAGTGAGTAGTGAATAGTGAGTAGCGGGGAGTAGGTAGTGAGTATTGAGTAGCGAGTATGGGAGTAGCGAGTAGTGAGTACTGAATACTGTGTAGTCACAATTGTGTAGGGAGTAGCGAGTAGCGAGTAGTGAGTAGTGAGTTGTGGTTTGTGGGCAATGAGTAGTTAGTAATGAGTAGTGAGTAGGTGATCGTGGGTAGTGGGTAAGGAGGAGTGATTAGTGAGTAGTGAGTAGGGAGTAGTGAGTAGTGCTTAGTGAGTAGTGAGTATTGAGTAGTGGGTAGTGCATAGTGAGTAGGGAGGAGGGAATATGGAGTAGGGAGTAGTGAGTAGCGAGTAGTGGGTGGTGGGTAGTGAGTAGTGGATAGTGAGACGTGAGTAGGGAGTAGGGGGTAGTGAGAAGTGAGTAGCCAATAGCGAGTAGTCAGTAGTGGGTAGTGAGTAGTGAGTACTCGTTGGGGCTGGGGTTAGCTGTTGGGGTCAGGATCAGGGGTTTGGGTTAGGGTGAGGACTAGGGGTAGGGGTGGTGGGGGTCGGGTTCCGGAGTCAAGGGGCGCCGCGGCGAAAGGGGGGAGGGGTGGGGGGTTCGGACCCCCCCCCCTTTTGGAAGGGGGGGAGGCGGGGGGTCCCCGACGACGGATCGGGGAAGGGAGGGGGGGGGTCCCCGACGACGGATCGGGGAAAGGGGTGGGGGGGGGCCCCAACACTCCCCCCCCCTTGGGGAGATCCAGCGGCGCGCCCTCCTAGAGATGCCGTCAACAATCGCCTACCGCCGGGACCGACAGAACAGCGCAGGCGGACTATGTTCTGCACAAGGCGAAGTGGCTGGCATGCAAGATGCCCTGCTGCTTGACGTGCAGTATCATACACAAGCGCTATACGATAAAGCGCAAGGGTGCGAATTCGCGAGCGCCAATCTGAGCGATCAGGTGAAGAACCACAATGACCTTCAACGAAGCCGCATCATGACCAGGTCGGAGCAATACCAAGCTGAACAACTTGTCAACAACTACCGATAATCATCAGCAAGAAACAGTCATACAGATGGCTGCAGCGGGCAGGCAGCCCCCGTTGGCCACAAGGCACGCAAGCCCTTTCGGGCGGACGATGGTGAATTACAATAGCCCGTTGCCACCACGGTTGGATGTTAGCGCGCCAGTTTCTGCGCCGCCACGACCACCACCACGTGCGCCGGCTGAGCGGAGGCCGACCTTGCAACCGCGCGACCAACCAGCTACCCAGCGTGGGAAAAGGAAGCGACGCAGGATCTGCGGGCGCAGCCCCCAGACGCCTGGCGAAACCAACGCGACGGACATACGTCTTTTGAGATTGATAGACCAGAGGCGGGCGGTGGGTTATCAGACGGCCGTCGGTCTGCAGCTGAGGGGGCTGTGACGCCGGCACCAAGTGGTGCTTTGGAAAAGTGGCAGCATGAAAAGACGGGCTGAGACCCGCAATGAAGAAGTCAAAGCGCGTAGCTGATTCCTAAAGGGCGACATATTCTTTGCTGGGTAATGAACTGGCACCGGCATGTCGAAGCCGATGGCTGAATTTTCGGTTTCCCCCACCACAACATAATGAAATTGGCAGGCACTAATTTGAGCCAGTTTCCTGTGGCACCGGACTACACTATGCTTGACATTCTAGAAGCCCTCTGTGGGTCGTTAGTGAAACGGCATGGAGATGCGTAGACGGGCGCGGCAGCCCATTACCGAATGGAGCTGGACGACCCAAACCAACGGCTCTGCGATAGGCGGCAAAAGCTCCTAGGACGACAGAGCCTATCAGCATGCGGGAGCGGGATTGCGAGCCGCATCAGGGAAAATAACACCGCGGCAGTCAGCAGAGGTCGACGCATCGATGGAATATTGCGAAGGCCTTACGGCCGTTGCCGCTGACCCTGAAGATGACGAAAGACAACACGAGGGGGGGGGGCACGAGGAGGAGGAGGAGGAGGAGGCGGAAGGGAGTAGGAGGAGGAAGGGTGAAGGGGGAGGAGGAGGAGGCCTTATGGATGTTGGTTGGGATCTCGTGGTTGACCTCTCGGGGGCGTCTGGAAGGCAACTTGAAGCCTCTTGGGGGCCGTTGTGGGGCCTCTTCGGGCCTCTTTTGGGCCTCTTGGGGCTTCCGGAGGCCGTCTTCGGCGCATCTTGGGGGCGTCTTGGCGCCGCTTGGGGGCCTCTTGGGGCCTTTTGGGGGCCTCTTGGGGCTTCCCGGGGGCCTCTTAGGGCGGAAGTCTCGAATTCTCGGTTCCTCGTCCCCCTCTTGGCCGTTTCTTGGGCCCGTCTTGGGGCCCTATTGGGCCGTCTTGGGCGCCTCTTGGGCTGTCCTGGGGCCTTCTTGGGCTGTCTTGGGGCCCTCTTGTAGGCCTCTTGGTGCGCTCTTGGGGGCCTCTTGGGGGCCTCTTGGGCCGTCTTGGAGTGTCGACAAGCCGAAAAGGCGAGAAGGCCGAAATCATTTAAAAACCTATGTAAAATTGACGATTTTGGCTCCTGGGGCCCTCTTGGGAGTGCTCTTGGGGCTCTCTTGGAGCGTCTTGAGGGCCTCTTGGGCCGTCTTCGGGCCGTCTTGGGCGTCTTGGGGCGATCGTTCGTCGAGTCGAGGCCCTCTTGTACCCTTTTGGGGGTGTCTTCTGGCGCTCTTGGCTCGTCTTGAAGCTTTTCTGAGCTCCGGGACCCCCCGGGGAGGATGCGTATCTGGGTGGCGACCCCCCCCCCCCCCGGCGGGGAGGGTAGGGAGGGGCTTCGCCACGACTCAACTACGACGTTGCTCAATGTCGCTTTGGCTCGCGCGCTCAAGGAGACGGGGAACGACGAAGACGACGAGGGACAACGGAGACGGAGACGACGAGGACACGACGGAGACGACGACGACGACGACGACGACGACGACGACGACGACGACGACGACGACGACGACGACGACGACGACGACGACGGTGATCCACGCAAGATGACGACACCGTGATGCGTCTTCCACACGCCGACAGGGTCGGCGGATTTCGATGGACGCTCCCGGGGTCACTCCCAGGGCATGATGGACGGCAGGAACGCTCTCGCGGCGGGGCGACCTGGCGCTGGCAAGCCTCGCAGCTGTTGTAGGACGCGCGCAAAGGATGGAGAGCGCGGTAAACATAATTGCAAGGACCCGCCTAAGAAGGCTTGCTCTATCGCTCAGACGGGCAACTACAAACGCGGTGGCGGGCGCTCGTTTGCCCATCACCCAGCTGGGCGCTCCAGCAGTGGAATCCACGCCCCGAGGCGGGCCACGCGAACCGAGAGATCATTCGAGCTGCCGCGATAGATGAAAGTCTCGCCCCTCTCCCCGAACACCGAACGGGGCGCGCAAGAAGAGCGAGGAGCGCTCTCAGAGCAAAAGCCCCGGAGAAAGGACCATTCTCCAGGCGGGGCCAGACGCCCGCCCCTGATAGGGGAGATAAGCGCGATGGACCGCCGCCGGCCAACGGCGACAGGGGCCGCCCGCCGCCGTGGAGCCCCGGCCGAGGCCAGAGCCCCGAGGGCGGGCGCACGAGCAGCCCGAGGGACCGCAAACAGGGCCCGAGATCTGGGCGAGGAAACGCTTGCACCCCGCGGCCCCATAGCGCGCCTCCAGCAGCGCGCGCGATTAATGCAGCAGCCCCCGTTCAGCGGGAAGAGGAGAGCGCGTAAAGTCAGTACTGTCATCATCAGCGTTATCCTTACCATCAGCAGCAGCATCATCATCGGCATCGTCATCGTCATCCCCATCGTCATCATCAGCATCATCATCAGCATCATCATCGTCAGCAGCATCAGCGGCATCATAGTCGTAAGCATCATCATCAGCAGCAGCCTCATCATCGTCATCGCCCGCATCGTCATCAGCATCATTATCCCTATCATTGTCATCGTCAGTGTTATCATCAGTAGCGTTATCATTATCATTATCATTACCATCAGCATCAGCATCGTCGTTGTCATCGTCATCGTCATCATCAGTATCACCGTCATCATCGTCATCATCATCATCGTCTTCATCGTCTTCATCGTCATCATCATCATCATCATCATCAGCATCATCATCATCATCATCATCATCATCGGCAGCAACATCAGCACCATTATCACCCCCGCCCGTGCGTTACGATACGTTCCTCCTCGGCCTCCCCCTCCGGGGTTTGGATGCCCTTCAGCTCATGCAGGAAACAGGAGGGGCCCTATCTCGTGCATTCTGGCCTGGGTACCTGGATGCGTCAAATGGTAATCCAAGGCGGTCTTGCTCCATCTCCCCTCTCGTTCCTTCGTGCCCTTCCTCTAGGACCCTGGGGTGGAGGGTAGTTACATGATCCTCATACCCCTCATCATCAGCATCTGCATCAGCATCATCATCCTCGTCCTCGTCCTCATCCGCCTCCCTTTCCTCATCCTACTTGTCCTCCTCCTCCTCTTTTTCCTCCTCATCCTCATACTGATTCTCCCCCTTCTCTCCCAATCCCCTCCCTATCTTTCCCCTCCTTCATCGCTCCCCTCGCCTTGTCTCCCCTTCGTCCTCCTCCTCTTCCTCCTCCTCCTCCCCATCCTCCTCCGTTTCTCCTTCATCCTCCCCCAGCCCTCGGACGGAGGACGTTTTCGCGAACGCCAAGCTGTCCCTACTGGTGGCAGGCAACATCAACTTGGCCTCGCCACCCGCCAAAGAAAGGCATGTTGGCATTCCACGCATGTAATGTCCAGACGGCAACCATGGTTATACCATCATCAGTATCAGTATCGCTGCCACCACCACCACCATATTCATTATCAGATTGGTTCCACTTCCAATCACCCTCCTCGCCCTTCTCATGCCCCCCCCCTTCCCCCATCCCTCTTTCCTCCTGCCTCCTCGTCCTCCCCCTCTCCTCCTCCGCCTCCGCCTCCTCCTCATCCTCATCCTCATCCTCATCCTCATCCTCATCCTCATCCTCATCCTCATTCTTCTCTTCCTCCTCCGCCTCCTCCTCCTCCTTCTCCTCCATTCCTTTCCCTTGTGAATACCTCCTCCCTGTCGCACCCCGAGGCCAGTCGGAAGGGCGGGCTGGGCGTTTCGCCGAAGAGTTCCTTTACCACTGATGGGACTCAATATTCAAAATGGCAACAATGTCACAGAGTGTGGGCGGGCCGTTTTCAAAATGTGGCTCTTGCCCAGCGCCGCGCACAATCGAAGTAACAAGTTGCAAGAGCGTCACGGGTTGAGGGCGGTGTGTTTTCAAACATTGGTTCTCACATTAGCGCCGCGCACAGTCGTTGTAACAACGTGCAAGGGCTTCACGGATTGATGGCGGGTCGTTTCCAAGATGTGGTTCGTGCAGTAGCGCCGCGCACATCCGTTAAAACAAGTGTGCAAGAGTGTCACAGGGTGAGGGCGCCGGGCGTTTTCGAAGTGTGGTTCTTGCCTTAGCGCCGCGCACATTCGTCGCAACAACTTGCAAGAGCTTCACGGATTGAGGGCGGCCCGTTCTCAAAATTTAGTTATCGTTTGATCGTGGCGCACAGTGCGCGAGTTTCAAGATACAGCTCGGTTCCTTCTCACATGGTGTTTCTCGTAGTAGTGCCGCGCACATGCGTGTCAATATGCGCAAAGAGTTCCATTGATTGAGAGCGGTTCCTTTTTTAAATTGTCGCATGAGCTCGGCGCACATCGTCTGAACCATATAAGTTGTTTATGAGTTCCCACGGCTAACGAGCCAGAAATGGCTTTCTGAAATGGTTCAGCCAGGGCGCAACAGTTGTGTTGGTTCGCGGTGTTGAAGTCCCAGGAGTGGTGTTCTGGCACGATTCAGGATCGTCAAGGCGCAACAGTGAGCTTGACAGTGGCGTTGAATTCCTGCGAGCAGTGGTTTGGCACACTTCCGGATTGTCACACTGTTTCCCCCCGATTGAGCATTTCTATTAGTGGAGATGAAGTTTCGTATGGGCATATGCCGAGGTAGCATGGAGGGAGGGTGCATTCCAACATCGTTGATGCATCTTGGGGTAACATTAGTCCTATGCCCCCTCCTCCTCCCTCCCTCTTCCTACTTCTCCTCCTCCTCCTCTCATCTTCTCCTCCCTCCCTCCCTCCCTCCCTCCCTCCCTCCCTTCCCCCTCCCACTCCCGCCTCTCGAACGATCGCTCCGACGCCCATCATCATCAGATTAACACAGAACCCGCACGGCTACAAACACACAACGAGACTGGGCGGGACTCGCGGCGCCGAAGCGAGGGCACGACTTTGACAAGGGCCGACCCTCTGTCTCCGTACCTGCAGGCAGTTCACGATTCCGGAGCATGAGGGTACGGAGGTCCCAGGCGAGAGCTCATATGTAACACAGGGGGTTGCCTTCCATGCCTGAAAGTGTTGGACAAGTAGCGGTCCAGGGTCTTCGGATGGGAAGGGACCGCCCTCCACCTGCGTAAGAGCAGAGACGTGCGAGCTCTTGGGATCGATCTCCTGTTGAAGGAGTTCCAGGTGGGAGCTCGATTCTGCAAAGGGCCCCCTTCAGCATCGCAGATGCCTGGGCAACAATCAGTGTCAGGACCGTAGTTCGCGAGGAAGCACCAGGCGAAAGCCGGATGTTTGAAGGGAAAACGCCCTGCGTCCTGACAGCCCGTGGAATGTTTCAGATGAGCGCGCGCGGCGTTGACGTAAGAAGCAGAGGTTCAAAATGCAGCCGCTGGCAGTTTCTCGCTTTCGGGGCACACTGTGTTGGGAAGGGTCGGGCGGCACGCCCACCCCCCCATCAGAACGTCTCGTGTCGCGACGAGGAGGAGTTGTTTATGCGGAATACGGATGGAGCGGAGAGAGAAAAGTTCCTCCACCACGACCTCATCATCTCTCTCCTCCCCCTCCCCTCTTCTCCTCCCTCCGCCCTCCGTATACCCTCCTCTCTTTCTCCTCCTCCTCCTCCAGCCACTTCCTTCTCCTCCTCCTCCAGCCACTTCCTCCTCCTCCTCCTCCTCCTCGATCCGTTCTCGCTCCTCCCTCATCCCCATCCTTTTCCTCCTTGTCCGCGTCTTCCTCCTCCTCCATTCTCGTCCTCCTCGCTCCCCCTCGTCCCTCCTCCTCCTCCTCCTACTCCTCCTCCTCCTCCTCGCTGCTGCTCCTTCTCCTCCTCCTCCTCCTCCTCCTCCTCCTCCTCCTCCTCCTCCTCCTCCCTCCCTCCTCCTCCTCCTCCTCCTCCTCCTCCTCCTCCTCCTCCTCCTCCTCCTCCTCCTCCTCCCCCTCCTCCTCCGCCCCTCGCTCCCCCTCGCACCTCGCTCCCCCCCTGATCCCTCCCGACGCCTCCCCTTCCCCTCCCGGGGAGAGACCCATGCCTCCAGCGGACTCGACACAGGGGACGGCCGCCTGCAGGCAGCAGCCCCCCCCCCCTTGGCGGGGCCGTCGGATCGGCAGGGGGCGCTCCGAAGAGATCGCGCAGGCCGTCGAGCACGCGCTGGGCGTGACGCGCGACCAGCCAGAGGCCTCTGCTCCTCCTCCTCCTCCTCCTCCTCCTCCTCCTCTCCTGCTCCTCCTCCTCCTCCTCCTCCTCCTCCTCCCTCCTCCTCCTCCTCTCCCTCCTCCTCCTCCTCCTCCTCCTCCTCCTCCTCCTCCTCCTCCTCCTCCTCCTCCCTCCTTCCTCCCCTTCTCCCTTCCTCCCTCCTCCTCCCTCCTCCTCCGTCCTCCTCCCTCCTCCTCCCTCCTCCCTCCTCCTCCCCCTCCCCCTCCCTTCCTCCCTTCTCCTCGCTACTCATTCCCCTACGACGCAGACACACGCACACACACACACACACACACACACACACACACACACACACACACACACATCTGCTCATCCTCCCTCCTCCTCCCTTCCTCCCTTCCTCCCTTCTCCTCGCTACTCTCGGGGAAACATAAGACTCGAGTAAGCCGGAACTCGGGTTAGCCGAGCTTTTTTTGACGAGCGCGTCCTGGATGTTGACGGTCCCGTTTTCGTGGGATGTCTGCAGCGGGAGCCCGCGTCAAATTTCAGATTAGGCCTCGTCATTTTTATGATGGCCCCCGTTAGGCCAACCCGAGTCCCCCATACCCGAGTCTTACGTCTCCCCGGTACTCATCCCCGTACGACACAGACACACACACACACACCAGTCACTGCATCCCCCCATGGGGTCCATGTTGGCAGGGTTTGTTTGACGGCCCCCGATATTGGAACGGGCCTCCAGACCCAGAAAGTTGCCATGACATCATCATCGTCATCGTCATCGTCATCAGCGTATCATCATCCTCAGCATCAGCATCAGCATCATCAGCATCATCAGCATCAGCATCATCATCATCATCATCATCATCATCATCATCATCATCATCATCATCGTCGTCATCGTCATCATCGTCATCATCATCATCATCATCATCATCATCAGCATCAGCATCAGCATCATCATCACCATCAGCATGACTATCATCATCATCATAATCAGCAGCAGCAGCAGCAGCAACAGCATCAGCATCATCACTTCCGCCAGCACCAGCAACATTAGCACCGTCGTCGTCGACGCCCATCATGTTTATTCGCACTGCCAGCATCATCCAGATCGTCGTCGACCTCAACATCACTGCCATCAGCGTGACATCATCATCGTCATCACTGACCTCAAGTTGCCGTGACATCATCATCGTCATCATCATCGCCATCAGCGTATCATCATCAGCATCATCAACATCATCATGATCATCATCTTCATCATCAGCATCAGCATCATCATCGCCATCAGCATGACTATCATCATCGTAACCAGCAGCAGCAGCAACAGCATCAGCATCGTCACTTCCACCAGCACCAGCAACAGCAGCATCGTCGTCGTCGACGCTCATCCTGTTCACTAGCACTGCCAGCACCATCCAAATCGTCGTCGACCTCAGCACCACTGTCACCAGCAGCGCCCACCTGCGGCCCGGGCCTCGCGCGGGCCCCGGCCTCCCGCGTCCGCGTGGCCCCTGAGGGGCCTCGGCCTGCGGGCCGGCCGCGTGGGCGACCCGCCGGCGTCCCTCCTCGTCGGCCGGCTTCGGCGCGGAGTTCCCGGCGGCCGTGGCCTGGGCCTCTCGTCGGGGGCGGCAAAGAGGGGGGTGATGACCAGGGGGGGGGATGTCATGGCGCGGGCCATGAGATCTCCCCAGATCTCCTGGCGCCTCTTCCTATCTCACCACGTCCCTTCTGGCACCCCCCCCCCCCCCGCGGGGCCGCGCACACGCCGCTGGTCATGATTTGCACCCCCCCCCCTCTTCGACGGCCCCCCTCTTGGCCGCCCCCGAGCCTCGGGAAGCCCCCGCACGCCGCCGGAAGCCCGCCGTCTCTCGGGCCGTCGGGGTTTGCCCGCGGCGGTGGCTCGCCAGGTCCGCCCCGCGGGCCTCGGAGGCGGCCAGGTCGGCGGCGGGTCCTCGCCCGTCGGGGCGTGGCGGCCTCGCGAGGGCCCCGGCGCCGGTGCGCGTGGATCCAGCACGGCGTGGACGGGCTCCGCTCCCCGACCCTATAGGCCAGCACCAGCACCAGCACCATCATCATCATCAGCATCATCATCAGCATCATCATCATCATCATCATCATCATCATCATCATCATCATCCTTATCCTCATCCATCAGCATCAGCATCAGCATCAGCATCAGCATCATCACCATCATCATCATCATCATCATCATACTCATCCTCATCCTCATCATCATCCTCATCCTCATCCTCATCCTTATCCTTATCCTTATCCTCATCATCATCATCATCATCATCATCATCATCATCATCATCAGCAGCAGCAGCAGCACCAGCATCAGCAGCAGCAGCAGCAGCAGCGTCATCATCATCATCATCATCATCATCATCATCATCATCATCGTCGTTGTCCGTAGCCATTTGGGCTCAAGCTGATCAAGGCCCAAGCCGAGCCGAGCAGGCCGTGGCCGTTGCCCAGCGCCAGGGCGCCTTTCTGGCAGGGATGAGCAAGCTCAACATCGACAACCTGAAAAAGGGCATTGGCGAGATTCTCGACGGCGCGAAGGCGAAGCCCCGCAAGTTCCTCGAGACGGTAGAGCTCCAGATCGGCCTCAAGGACTACGACACGACCAGGGACAAGCGCTTCGCTGGCACCATCAAGCTCCAGCACGTGCCCCGCCCGCGCATGAAGATCTGCGTGCTCGGCGACGCGGTGCACTGCGAGCAGGCGCAGCGGGCGGGCATCCCGTTCAAGAGCGTCGACGACCTGAAGAAGCTCAACAAGAACAAGAAGCTCGTCAAGAAGCTGGCGCAGTCGTTTGACGGCTTCCTGGCCTCGCAGGTGCTGATCCCGCAGATCCCCAGGTTGTTGGGCCCTGGCCTGAACAAGGCCGGTAAGTTCCCGACCCTGGTGCAGCACACGGACGTCCTCGAGAACAAGGTGACCGACATGAAGAGCCAGGTGAAGTTCCAGCTGAAGAAGGTTCTCTGCATGGGCGTGGCCATCGGCAACGTGAACATGACCCCAGAGGAGTTGAGGATGAATTCGTTGATGGCGATAAATTTCCTCGTGTCGCTGCTGAAAAAGAACTGGAACAACATCAAGCGCTTGCACATCAAGAGTACCATGGGCAAGCCATTCACCGTCTACGGCTGAGCTGAGCGCGGAAATATCATAATCATCAGCAGCAGCATTCTCGTCCTTCGCCTCCTCCTCGTCCTCCACGTCTCCCTCCTCCCTTCTCCTCTTCCTCCACTCCCATCCTCCATCTTCCTCCTCTTCCTCCACCTCTCTTCTCCGTCTTCCTCCCGTCTTCTCCTCATCCACCCCTCCTCCTCCTCCTCCTCCTCCTCCTCCTCCTTCTCCTCGCCCTCGTCATCGAAGCCGTCGCGTTCCGTGTTTCCGAGCGGTTCTTCAGGTTCTCGCCGTCACGGTTGGACGCGGCTCAAAAAGTGGTCAGGCAGGACCTAAGGGAAGGGTCCGGGGATCGCCCTTCAGCCTTCAGCGGGTTTAGGTCGCCCCCGTCCTCCTCATCCATGATGTTCCTCCACCTCCTCACAAGATTCCTCTTCCTCCTACCACGTGGACTCTGGCGACAGGGAAGTTCCGTGATAAGCATCATTCCCTTTGCTCCTCATCATCCTCGCTCCTCCTCCTCGTTCTCCTCATCCTCCTCATCCTCTTCCTCCCCAGCCTCCTCCCTAAGAGGCGCAACCAGCGTCACGTGTGCTAGAGTTACATGCATTCCGATTGTGTGCCTCCTCCCTCCATCCCTCCCCTTCATCACCCCTCCTCCTCCTCCTCCTCCTCCTCCTCCTCCTCCTCCTCCTCCTCCTCCTCGTCCTCCTCGTCCTCACCTCCTCCTACTCCTCCTCTTCCTCCCGCTCCTCTTCCTCCTCCTCCTCCTCCTCCATCCTTCCTTATCTCCTCATCCAATCCTTCCCCATCCTCTTCTCTCCTCATCCCCCCCTTTTTCCTGCTGCTTGCCCTGCCCACCCACCCCTCCACTCCTCATCCTGCTCCTCCTACCTGCTCTCCCCTCCTTTGCCTGCCTCCTCCTTCTCCTCCTCCTCCTCTTCCTCCTCCTTCTCCTCCACTTGCTCTCGTCCAGCTCCTCCTTCGTATATCCTGCTTATCCCCCCGCTCGGGGCCGCCTTTGTCCGCCGGGCCTCCTCCTCCTCCTCCTCTTCTTCCTCCCCCTCTTCCTCTTCCTCCCGCTCCTCCTCGTCTTCCTAATCCTCCTTCCAGTCCTGCCTCCGCCTCCTCTTCCGTCCTCCTCCTCCTCCTCCTCCTCCTCCTCTTCCTCCTCCTCCTCCTCCTCCTCCTCCTCATACTCCTCCCCGTCCTCAGCCTCCGATAGAGCAGCGCGCGAACAGCTACAGGCGGTGTACGATGGGCACGTGCAGATCATAAAGCCCAAGGAGGAGGCGAACGCTTTTGTCTCCGCGGCCTGGGAGTAGGAGGGGGGAGGGAAGGTGGAGGAGGAGAAGGGGAAGAGGAGGAGGAGGAGGAGGAGGAGGAGGACGAGGAGGGGAGGAGGAGGGGGAGGAGGAGGAGGAGGAGGAGGAGGAGGAGGAGGCAGAGGAGGTAGTGGAACAGCAGGAGGAGGAGAAGGAGTTGAAGGGGGAGCGAGAGGAGAAGACTGAGTGGAAAGAGGAGCAGGGTGTATTGGATACCAAAGGGTTCACTGATGTTGTGCCACCTTCCCTTCGCTTTGTGTCGCCGCACTGCCGATGATAGAACGTCAATGCTGGAATGGAGTACTTTCCAGTGCATGGTATTTGGCAGGTGACGCGCAGCGTGCCGTTTTCAGAATTTCCGGTGCGGCAGAGCAAGGAGTACGTGTGTTTGTTCTTGATGTCGAAGGGCAGGAGTGTGTACGAGTACGTAGTAGTACAGGCAGGAGTGAGAGTAAGAGTGAAGTTTGCCAGCGGGGGAGGAGAGTTCTCCCTCTTCGTCATCCGCCCTCGTAGCATCAGCGGCACGAAATTCCAGCCGAGGGACATCAGAGAAAGCTGAGGCACGCCCGAGGCGCTTTCCCCCTCCCCAAAAAAGTCAAGCTGGCCGGCTCGAGCGAGTCAGAGGGCCCCGCCCACTCCCGCCCTGCCTCCCACAACATCGGAAGCAATGCTGGGACAACTGGATACGGTCGGGAGGTTTGGCTCAGCTTGTCGCTCCTCTTGTTCTGGCCCACCACGCTTCTGCCAGACACGTTATCCACGACCCCATTTCCAAGCGTCAACTGCACGAGCGTTTCCCAGACCGCCGCCCAGCGGAGCGGAGTGAAAAGCTATCCGCTTGCACGGCATACCGTCTTGCCGGGGCTGCCGCGGCGACACGCTAGGCGAAAGTTCTTTAGCGTATTGAGTGAACAGCGCTCGCGCGCGACCCCCGTCCAAGCGACCTGGATGCGGGGAAGAAGCATGGGCCGCGCACGTGCCGGAGCGGAGCTCCCAGAGGATGATTGCGCGGCGCACTGGCGAGAGCACCACTCGGCCCCTCGCGCGCAACCACCTTTGCGATACGGTGAGGGAATTGGATACAGAACCCTTGGATAAGAAACCCATGGTTCGAAAGCCCGTCGAAGGCTGATTGAGGCTCGGTCATGGATGTCACCGCTGCCCTCATCAGATGAGGAGCCCTCCAGGCAGGGTCCGAAGCCTCTTGTGCACAGTCCTTCGTGCACGCCCCACCAGCCCCGCAACAGAAGTGACGCAAACGAGACGTTGCCCGCGCCGAGGCGGGAACGCCACCGTCGGGTAACATCTGTGCGGCGCTCTGGCGCAAGCGACACGTCGCCCTCTCGCACGCGGCCCTTCCTCCGCTTCCGACGGGTCGGGCAGCCGTGCCCACGCGGGAGGGCCACCTGCAGGCGTAATCAGGGCGGCGCATGGGGCGAAAGCAACATATTTCGCCCGCTCGCGCGCGGGCTGGCGCCCGGCAGGTGCGCACCTCGGCCAAGCGGAGGCGAGATCCTGAAAAGGAATGTGCTCGGCGTTGAGGCGAGAGCTACACTTCGCGCCCACTGCGCGCTGCGCCCCACTCCTGCCACGCATTTGCAGCGATAGCGACAAAGCGTACGTGCTGAAAGGTAAGAAGTCAACGGTGGTATATGGCTTCTTGCTGGGCCGGATTGGACCGCACAGAAATGGTTCGCGCGCGATGTGCTCCGCATTTCATCCCTGTCACTCCTCCCACGACGTCCAAGACAGAAAGTCCATGCTGAGAGGGAGAGCGTCGACGTCATCTTGCCCTTCATTTCATGGGTAGCATGTACCCCACGGATGAAACCGCATCGGCCAGCCAGGCTCAACAAGGGTGTGCATATAAACTCAGACAGAGTATGGATACGGGTGGGCGCGAAAGTGGGAGGCGGAGGAGGAGGAGGAGGAGGAGGAGGAGGAGGGGGAGGAAGAAAAAGAGTAACGGATAGAGAAACTGATGAGGGAAAATACAGAGGGTGAAGAGCAACGAGAAGGGGTGGAGCAGCGTGGCGACGACGACACAGACGAGAACAAGGACGAGAATGAGGAGCAAGCAGGAGAGTGAGAGAATGAGGGAGGGGGACGGCAAGGATGAGCAGGAGGGGGGAGGAATCATAGGAGGAGGATTTGGAGGAAGGGGTGGGTCGGAAGAGGATGTAGGAGGAGAGGGGGAAGACTAGGACCAGAAGGAGGGAGGAGCAGGAGGAAGAGGAAGAGGAAGAAACGGACGACGACGACGACGATGAGTCAGTAGAGCTTACAGCGGCTAGGTTCCAGATGGGCCGAGTGGCTGCTGATTTGGCTAAAGTAAAGTTTGCTTCCAGGGAGGAAAAAAAGGCTCCTACCACATGTTCATGGTTGCGGAGGCTGTGGTTCGCCCTATGGGTTTCAGCGCCTGCGATTAATTCCGCGAAGCAGTCGCCTTCTTGCGATGGCCGCGACGGTCCCGTCGTATCCTGGTACACAAGACCCAGGTTGAGATGTGACCTTACCCAAAGTCCGAGAGACCTGGCACAGCTTGAGCATAAACCGATTCGCGGAATTTTGCAACGCAGGTTACGAGAACGGATACGTCACGTACGTGAACACAGTGCCCAAAGCCAATCATGAAAGGATGAAGATAATCTCCGAGCGCGGCGCTACGCTAGGCACCAGAGCGGATGACAACGACGAGGCATTCACAATGTTGCACACGAGCTTCAAATGACATGCGCTCTTGGAATCAGTCATCAACCGCAACATGTACTACGAGGAACCGTTCCATGATTCCCCAATCAAAGCTTGCCTCTGTAGGGGTCCTAGCGGATTCATATGGTTAGGTTAGCTTGGCCGCCGATTTTCGCTGCACGCCGGGGTGCCTGGGGGGTGCCCGGGGGTGCCCTAGAGCCCAATAGCCCTATAGCCCTACAACTCTATAGCCCTATAGCTCTATAGCCCTAAGGTTCTATAGCCCTATAGCCCCCTAGCCCTACAGCCCTACAGCCCTGATTGGTTTTTTTCCTCCGGCATAAAAAACGACGCCAAGCGGACGCCCCTGAACATGCACCAAGATCGCCGAGGCCATACAGCTGACTGGGAAGACCCCGGCCGGAGGAGGTGGACGCAAGACACAAACGAACACAAGGCGGTTCAACAGTGAAAGACGTTATTGGGTGAACGGACAAATTTCAAGGAATGTGATATTTCGTTGAATGCGTTCGCCCAAATGAAGCACAGTGAACGGGAACATCTTGAGCAAGAAATCTGAAGCCATGGATGGAGTTTTACAGGACGACGGATAAAATAACCTGTTAAATATCATGGACGGGAGGTGGCGTTTCATGATGACGACTACGCTAACTTGGACGAGCACCTCTGGCATTCGCTGAATGACAAGCTGGAGGGGACGGAGCACCGTGGATGATTTCAGAGCCCACATGAAGGCGACGGCCTGGTGACGCACCAGACGATATAGACATGGCATTCCGCCGTTACTGGGGTCACGCTCCCCCGCAAGATGAACCCGGCCATGACGCGGCGCCCCAACTCGAACAAATGAGTGCGTTGGTAGAACCCTTGAGGAAGTATGCGTCTGCATGGTCGTTCCCATGACCACGCAGGGAACTTGTGTTGATAATTATCATGATTCACGCTGGCGATTGGTTTGGCGACTGGCAACAAGATTGCTTCAAGACGCCAGAACCGCTAAACATTGGTACCTACCAAACACTGTTCATAAAGCGCGAAGATTGGGAAAGGATGAAAATGTTGTCCGCCGACACAACAAAACAGAACCAACGATTCTATGGAGAGCGGCCAAGTTAACGATGAAGGCTTTGGCGGCTGCGGAACAGGCATAAACAGTCCTGGTCATTACGACGACTCCGGAAACTAAAGGAGTTGGGCTGTGGAAGTCATGAGCAGAAACGGCAACGCGAATGAAGTGGGCAAAAAAAAGTGGAGGGCTGATGTGTTACAAGTGTGGGGGACATGGGAACATTGCCAACCACTGCGCCATTGAACAAACCACGAACAGAAAAAGAGTGGACTAGGGGAGTACAAAGAGAGGTCAAGGATTACAAAAGGGTGCAGGCAGGAAGATACAAAGAGGAATATCAAGGCACCAATGGCTACCCTGGGGGCTACGTCAAGGGAGGCAACAAAGGAGATCCTCCATGAACTTACCATGGGCGCCAAGTCCCAGGCTGAAAAGAAAGAGGCAAGGGAGGATTCGTGCCGATCAGCGAGAGGGAGTGACCCCACGCAGGCGTTGGGACATCCCCTACCTGGGCTCGGATGCAACAGCGTCGAATGGAGCGGGGCCACTGACGCAGGTGGATTTCCTGGCAACGTCACAGCTCCAGAGGCGGTTAAGGGGCACAGGAGTGGAGGACGCAGTTCCAGGAAACGAAGAGGAGGAACAGGGAAGCGACGCCAGGAATTAAGAGGAGGCACGCACCACACTGAGTGCAGCGCCAACTTCGACCACGGCGCCAATTGGGGCATCCGAGTACCCGAGCGAATCAAGAAGGAGAACACTTGGAAGCAACAGTGCGCCGAACTGCAGCTAGTGGATATGGACGGACTCGACAATGAAGTTAATGAACTACAAGCGATGGGGCCAGGAGAGCGGCATGAATACGATAACTGTTAGGACACTGACTCAGGAGTTCACAACCCGGGCGGGCCTCAACGTGGGACCCGTTTTTCCGTCAAACACACGGAGGGTTCCAGGGCCAGAGAACAGCGCATCGCAGCCAACGGGTCAATCATTGTGAACCACAGGCAACGAGTTATTGCATGTCCGTCCACGAATCGACAGATTGAGTACATTGGAGGCCGAGCGAGGAGATCAGAGGCATACCCGGACCGAATATGACGAGCCATATCCGAGGGCCTTGTCAACCAGATGCCGGCCGACGACCGATCGGGGCGCCTTTTGAGCCTGCAACCCAGAAGCGAGC